TGGGTACTATTCCGTTTTGAGGACCGTAAAAAAATTGCAGCGACAATGTATGCGCGAAAGCGCCAAATCTAGTGAAGGTGCCCATTTAACAGCGCGCCAGATCTAGCGTACGTGCTGATTTCAGATTGTGGAACTTATATAAAGCAGATTGCAGAACTTATATAAAGCAGATTGCGGAACTTATATGCTTAAACTTATATAAAGTTTATATAGTTCTGTATTTCTTAAGACACCATTGAAATACTAGTTTAACTTTGAAATCCCTTTTTAATATCCTATGGATTTAACAATTTGGGAACTGCCCATGACGAAAACTCTGTAATAGAATTTTGAGTGAAGTGCAGAATCATCCACTGCTTGATGTGTTTTTAAGAATTGCACATACTCGGTATCCATGTACACATCGACCTATCTTCACTTTAAAAAAAAAAAAAAAAAAATCCCTGAATTGCACAAAAATGGCACTGCGCACACCCTTTATCTATGTACACATCGACCCATTTTCACTTGAAAAGTAAAATTGACAAAAATCCAGTTGCTTTTACCTTTGTAAAAAGCGGCAAACAAATAAGCGGGCAATTTTGCAGTTTACCGCGAATTTTTTCATAGAAAAGGCATCATTCATTATAGAAAATTATGTTTGAACAACCAACGAGATGAAATTATGCTTTAGCGATGACTCGGTAGCGAAATAGGTATGCAGGTTTCCATTCAGTTATGTTTTAGCAATTTTTATTAAATTAAAAAGTGAATTTAAAAAAATTATAAAAGTGATCTGAAATAGTTATTTATTCTTATACTTCTATTCAGTCATGTTTAGCCTTTTTTATATAAATTATAATAATAAAAAAGTATTATATGAAATTAACATTTCAACTAAATTAAAACATCAATCTTAGATAGTTATTTACTATTATACTTCCTTTCTTGCATTAGGGTTGCCACAATTGTTTTATTCTTACACTGGCATCAACAATAGTTTGGCGAATTTTTATGGCCTTCAAAACCGAATAGTACCGGATCATGTGTGACAAAATGATTGCCAAATTTTCAGCCCAGCTCCAGACCTTTTTTTTTTTTTAAATCTTTATGTAGAACTGAATCCTTTTCTTCATTATCACTTTATTCTGTATGATTAAGAGTTTCAAGGACAATCTGTAATATTACATTTTTGTTTAGGGCTTTGTTGATTAATAATTCATCTATATCTTCAAATGGTTATAGTAGATTGAAGGATGCTCCTTGTATTGTCACGAAGTTGTTGCTTCATTTTATCACCAGGTTGAGAATTCATTTATGGTAAACTGAGTAGTTGAATGTTATAGAAACCCTGTTGTGACGTAACTGGTTGCGGTAAATTTTGAATGATGAGAAAGATTTGTAAGGGCTTTTGATGCGTGTTGGTTAGGAAATGAATTGCTTGTTTTGTGGTTTAGATGGTGCAATGGCTAAATGTGCTAAGATTAATTTGAGGTTTCTGGAACGAAAGGCGAAAAGAGCATTAATTGATTGATGTGTAAATCAAGGTTTACGTAGTAGCCATTATAAGTGTCCTGTTTGTAGGAAGGAAATTCGTATGGATGAACGTTTGAGTATGCTGGCACTATGGAGAATATTTTTACTCTTATTTTTGTGAATTTATGTGGCGATGCCGATATACAGATTCTAGTTCAGATAATTTAAGTTTTTGGATGCTTTTAAGGAGTTTTGCATGCCAAATACTGAACACGTAAAAATTTATAAGTAAGGTAAGTGGACATTTGCTTTGTGTAGTGCTTAGATGCATAAGATGAATTTCCTTTTTTATGTTATTTTATTGTTTGATTAAAAATGTAGTTTATAAAGATTATGTATTTTTTGTTTGGCTCTAGTGTAGAATTGGGTGCTCTTTTGACTCTTTACGTGAAAATAGATCGATGTGTACATGGACAGTCAAGGGAGTGCGCAATGCCAAGTTTGTAGAATTCTCTGATAATTTCTTTAAAGTGAAAATAGGTCGATGTGTACATGAATAAAGTCAAGGGAGTGCGCAATGCCAAGTTTGTGTAATTCTCTGGTGTTTTTAAGTGAAAATAGGTCAGTGTGTACATGGATACTGAGTTTGTGCAGTTTTTTGGCTTTGCTACACAAAGCCAAAATAACAAGTCAAAGAATTGTGCAAACTCAGAATCCATGTATAGCCAAAAATTGTCAACTTTCATCAGGGGCCACCTGTAAATATATTTTTACCCTTTCAACAATAGATTATTGAATCCTTATCCACTACTTATGTTTGTTATTTAGTGATTGCAATATGGGATCAAAAATACATTACTGGTATTCAGTACTTTTTTAAACGTACCAGAATACCATATTCCTAATATTATTTTTGGGCATCTCTCCTCATATAATTATGATTCAAGATGAAACTTTTTGCATTTACTAATGTATACCAAACTTGGATGCTTTATTTCATGTTGAAATAAAAATGTGTAAAAGTATTTTTCAGGTACAACTAAAGGCTTATTTTTATAAATATCTCCATCTGTTATAACTATGGAAAAGGATTTAAGAAAAATTAACATTCATATTCCTTGGATTAATTGCATTTCAAACTACGAAAAATCAATGTTGCCATATTTAAAAAAAATCCAAATTGAAATAAAAATAATTATTGTGTGCATTTTTCACTATTATTTGGAAAAGTATTCAGTACTCCTCTGTTATCAGGACTGGATTCAGAAAGTATGTATGTATGCACTTATGTATGTATGTATATGCATATATTTGTGTTTATACACACCCACACACATACAAATGTATGTTCATATATACATGCATTGCATGAACACTTCCATCCATATATGTATACATAACATACATTTCTAAATCTGATCTCAATAACAGAACAGTACCAAGTATTCTCTCTATTTTGGAGTTCATTAGATCTGAATAATTTAATTATTCTGTAGAGTCAATTGATTTTTGGAAGAAGGAGATGTGAAAAATTAGCAGTGCCCTCACCGAGACTTGAACCCTGGACCTCTCGAATGTGTGCCGAGTATGTTTCCAATTATACTATGAAGTCATATGGAAAGAAGGAAGAAAATATGTTATATACTCCCTCTTTTAAAGAGTAACTGGAGATCAAGGGACCAAATCCTGATGGTGATGAATTATTGTCCACCACCTTTTAGTTTGGATGCCACTGTAAAGTCATTAGGTTATTTTTGAAGCAAATGTGCAATGCGCTTGCCAAAACTCGAACATGGATTTTTCGAAAACATGCCGAGTGTGCTACCATTCAGGGTTGCCACACTACCCGGAAAACCGGAAATGTCAGGGGATTTGAAAATTGACCAAAAAAAAAAAAAAAAATCAGGGAAAAGTCAGGGAATTTAAATATTTTAGCCAAAATCTGGAAAAATTGAGGAATTTCTTATGGCAATCCCCCAAAAAGCGAGTTTTCATGCCATTGGAAGCGATCACTTTCTTGGTGAATCGTGTATCGCATGAGCAACATTTAGACTGTTGGCATACAGCCAGTTTCGCAGCGCCTATCACAATGTCGTTTAGAAAGGCAAAGCAAGTTTCCAGTATCTTTGGTTCCAGTAACCTCAAGAATCAAGAGAATTGTGTGCGCATGTACAGTGCATGTTGAACAAAAATAAATTCCCTCGATTTTTGTTTGTTTAAACCTTTTCTCCTTTCTTAAATGCCTTATTTGTCATTTTGCAGCAAAATAAAGAAAACTTTTAAAGTAAATCAGTCATCTAGGCTAGCCATTTAATATATCTATATTCGCCAAAATGCTGATTTTTATAATTCAATTTTTAATCCTTTAGTAATAACTTTATTTTAATGTTATTCGTGTCATTTAATGTATCCACTTCCTTCTAAATTTATCTATTCATTGTTACTTTCTGATTTCGGGCAATTTTCTTTGGCATACTCGTAAAACTAATTTTAGCAGTATGTTGACATACTATCACAAAATTTAGTGCACATACTTTTTACTTATGTATGCTGCTAAATAGATATAAAATGCTTGAATTTATTTTAAAATATCATTAAATAGACTTCTTTCTACCTTTAGCTGCAAAATGTCTGCAGAAAAGACATTTTTTAATCCCGATTGGGCAGATTCTAATCTCAATCCTCAGTGGGAAAGGCAACTCCTGTTATAGTTATAAAAGTTATGCTTTGCGGACATATATAATATATATATAAAGTCGTATGTAATTATAAAATTTTTGTTTTCAAGTGGTTTTATAATTATTGTATTTGCCAGCATATAAGACACACTTTTTTTTTTTAAAAAAAAAGTAGGTCTGGTAAACGGGATGCGTCCGTTATGTTGATACTCAGTTTATTCAGTTATTTGATTTTTTTCTTGTTTCCTTGTGAATGGGTCATAGTTTCATGGGATGCTGTGAAAACAGAGACAGTGGTTAAATTATTTAAAAAGTGTGTCATTAATAATGCACTGGATGGTACAGAGGATAATTTGTTGTATGAGGACTCAGATGCTGATTTAGAAGAGGTTTCAAGTGCTCTTCATTTAGCACTAAAAATGAGTGTCTGGGTTTTGACGAAGAAGATTAAAAGGTGTTCTTTCCCTGATAGACTGGGTATTTCCAGAATATATTACTTTTTATTTGTATTACTTTATATTTAAAATACTGTAAATTCATTACAATGAACAGTAATAAAGCTTTATCCTTAAAAAATGTGCATAAAAAAGGGAATGCGTCTTATAGGCCGGTGCGTCTTATATGCCGGAAAATACGGTAATTTACCCTCCTCACAGCCAACGATACTATGCAGATACCCTGGAATTTTCTTGAAACACACTTAGAAAAGTCAGGAAACTTCATTCTTGTGTTTGAGTGGCAACCATGTACCATTATACCATGAAGGCATGTGGAAAGAAGAAAATATCTTATAGTTCTTTTTAGAAATAGAGTGGTGTATAAAGTGACTAATTTTCCCTATTTATATTTTGTCTATTTCCTTTTCAGAATGCTTCTACGCCTGTGGAAGAAATACCACCAGAATTGATGGTGAAACATCCACTGCAGCATATGTGGAGTTTATGGTTTTATAAAAATGATAGAACTAAATCATGGGAAGAAAATTTAATGGAAATTACAACATTTGATACAGTTGAAGATTTTTGGGCGTAAGTTCTCAGAGTTAAATTTAAATGAATATTATTTCAAGTGATATAATTTTTTTATAATAAAAATAAAAATTGTTACATCTCGCTCTTTGAAAATAAATTTCAGTATTTTTTTTAGTTTGGAATCTGTCCACTTGTTTTTTGGTAACAAATTAATTTTTTTTACTTATCAAAGTTCTTTATTCCACACAGTAGATTTTAGCTTATATGCTAAACATGGCAAAATATGTACAGTAATATCACATATAGTGGAAGAAATTTATGTAAAATTTATTCACAATTTCCAAATGGAATATTATGCAAAATATTCTGTTTTTATTGTTCATATTAATCGCAGAATCTAGCAGATTAAATTTCCATATTTTTCCTGCATTTCAGAGATTAACTTAAATGTAGGGAAAGTATAGAAATGCTTTAGATATTTTTTCATATGACCTTTTAATGATTTTTGGAAAATTGCAATCATGCACATATCTTAAGTTCTCCCCCACCCCCTTCTAAATTCAAAATGTACTTTTTTAATTAATGGTTTTATTTATTTTTTACATTTAAGGTGTTCTTTGTAGTTCTGGTATGTTATTATAACTTTGTCATTATAATAATTGGTGGCCGAATGGCTAAAGTTGTTAAATACTGATAATTGTCTCAGGGGTTTCTTTCTGTTTGTTGGCTGTGTAACTCCTTAATGTGCTGTATCATAATTAAATGACCTAATCCAATCATGGTATAACAATAGATGAAAAATTTTATCTTTGTGAGATTAATGCAGAATAAAAAGCCCAAAATCTGAACATCTAATATCTGAAATAATAAATAACATAATAAAAAAAATCTCCCCCTTGCACAGTCTAGGAATGAAAATATAATGACAAGAAGGTATGCAATAACTGTAGTTTTTCCTGAGACTTAGATTCCTGCATGTTACTTTCAAACACTGCTGTCTAGGGAGTACTGTGGCTGATAACAATGCATTGATGTTGGTTTTATGCCTTTGGTTGTGGGGGGGGGGCAGAGCAGGGGCGCTACTTTTACTTACTGTTAGTCTCATTATACATGAGACTAACAGTAAGTAAAAGGTGCACAATGCATATAGCAACATCTATACATTATTACAGTGCAATCTTTGAAATTATACATTCATTACAGTGCAATCTTTGAAAGTCCTAAATTCTGGTGCTCTGTATTTCCCTGATTTCTAAACATTTTATTGCTGCTAAATTCTATTGTACGGTGCATCTCCAAATTTCTAAAAAATCTTCCATCCCTAATTTTTGCTACATAGTGCTCCTCTGAATTCTACAAATTTTGTAGTCCCAATTTCTGATATAAAGCCACAGGAGTTGCAACTTCTGCGGTGCTAGCTTTAGGGAATTTAACCGTTTTCCTGTCTGACCTAAACAGTAATTGAAGCTTAAGTGTTGCCTGTTTATATGCCATCTATCTATATAAAGAAGAAAGTCTGTGTGTTTGTTCGCTGATAGCTCAGTCACTACTAAAGGTATGGTCACCAAACTTTCTACAATTCTTTTCTGGGTCCTGGAAAAAGTCGGTGACCACTTAAAAAAAAAAAAAAAAAAAAAAAAAAAAAAAATGCTAAAATCACAGATATTAATTAAAAACTCGGAAAAAATGATAAGTTTCGCCCTCATTTTTCCAAGTGGCAACAGTCTTGTAAGCTGGAGATGAAAATCTGCTGTATTTCAAAAGTTACTGCCACTGCTTGCTTTCAAATTGTAGAGTTTGCTAATAAAAAATTTCTAAATTTTATGATAAAATAAAAGTTGCATTGCCAAACATTTTTCCGAGTGGCAAGTCTTGCGCATTGGAGATAAAAATTCTTTATTTTGAAAAGTATTGCTACTGCTCGCTTTCAAATCGTAGAGTTTGTTAAAAAAAAATTTTGTAAGTTTTACAAAATCTATACATATAAAGAAGAATGTCTGTTGTGTTTGTTCGCATTATTGATTTCTGGTCAATTATGGTAAATGTTTTGCCACATTGAATCAACTAAAATTGAATATAGGGGAAATATTGAATAGAACTTGAGCTTTTACGACCATTTGATTAGAAAGGCGAAAATAATTAAAATCTGCGTGCCATTGCTGCTGATATAATGAGAGAAAATTAGCTGAGTTTTCTATCAAAATTTTTTATGTGGGTTCCCTATCTCATCAGACCGAAAAATGTATGACTACGAGTCGTATTTTTTTGCATCGTTATTAGAGACGGATTACAGCAGTATTGTTCTCTCTGTTGTTAGATGCATTACTTTCAGTCTAACTTAACTGGTATCAAGTATTTCCGCTAGTCTTAATATATTTAAACTGATAATCTAAAATTTGAAAATTTCTGTAATTTAGAATCGCCAAAGTCCCTGAATCTCAAACTTTATACAGTACCCATAAACTGTTATAATGTTAAGCAAAATATCCTATTAAAATTTTATAAAAGTGAACAAACATTTTATGCCCTGATAAATTAAGGTTATATAAAGTTATATGCTTTTACATTCTTTTCTGATGCTGCTTCATAAAAATAGTCTAAATGATCTGACATTAAAACATATAGGATGTATTTTGTGAAGGATATATATATGTACATAAGAACTGTTGTAAACTCTCTGACTCTTCATTTCATGGCACCTTTTAGTGGAAAAGTTGGGAAGTGGAGTTTATTTGTGAGCCTTCTATATTAAGTGGGCTGTAGTCATTAATATGGTGAGCCAGAATTTGTGAGTCTCATTACACATCAGAATACATTAAAGAAGGGATTTTTTTTTTTTTTTTTTTTTTTTTTTTTTACAAATCATGAATTAGGCAAATAGAATATGATAAAAGCTTAATAGTAGTAAATAATATATCTAAGTGTTGCTATATGTACTGTGTAATCAATATTTCAGTTTTTATTACTTTTCTTTTGACTTAACTTCTTTTTCATTTTATGTTTATCATATTATTTAACATTGTTACATTTAGTTTACGTACATTCTTTCCTTTCTAGCCTTTATAACCACATAGAAGTAGTTAGCAAATTACCCATGGGATGTGATTATGCACTTTTTAAGGTAAACATCTCTTTCTTTTAATGGGCTAGTTTTAGAAATAGTATTTATAAACCATGCTGTACGGTAATGTATTCCAACTTTTCAGTCTTATGATTCACATGCATATATAATTGTAATTTATCAGTACCCAGTGTGCATGTAGTTGCTCTGGCAAAAAAAAAAAAAAAATCTGAAAGAAAATAATGCATTAACAAAGTAATGAAAATTAAACATGTTATTATTGATGCTAATTGATTATTATAATTAATTTCTAATTATAAATAAATGTATATATAATCATACAGAAAGGGAAAAAATACTTTTCATGACTTTCCAAGAATTGTCTGTTGACCCAATGGATTGTAACTCCACATTTTGATAATTAGATGTTATATGATATAAACATATTTAAACACTGAAAATATTATTTAAAATCTAATTTGACCCATTGTACTGTAAAGGTACTTCAGCACAAATAAATGCATCAAATCGTTATTGAGAGTTAGTTGGAAGTGCAAATTATTAAGTAAAGATAAATATTAATAGAGCATGGTTTTATATGGAATAAGCAAAACTGAGATATTTTATATTTTAAACTTCTGTGTTGCATTTTAAAAGTTTAAAAAAAATCAAAAGAAATCTTTGAAATATTGTCTTTTTTGTTTCCTTGTTTGCACTAATGTTTTAATTTAATATTGGGGGAAAAATGTGATTATTTTATTATTATGGCTGCTGTTTTTTTTTTAAATGCCAAATAAGCATTAAGATTATAGCCAAGTTCATGTTTTACTTTTCTTATACTTTTTGTGACTATGTGGTCTTTGTTTCCGCCAGGGCTGTGGAGTTGGTAGGGAAAATGACTGACTCCGACTACTGGAATTGTAATGACTCCGACTCCCTTATATATATATATATATGTGTATGTGTGTAAACATATACACATGGGTTACAGCTTATTTTTTAATATAAAAGATGTAATAGATGCTACAGGAAAAAAATTGATGGCATAGCAAATGATTTATATTAATTAGCATTTATTATGAAAGGGAAAAACTGGCATTAGTGATTTGTAAGAAACAGTATAACTTCGGCAAGAACTTTGTTGAAGGGCCATAGATCTGATTTGATAAACTTCAGAGCTGAGAAGAGTCTTGCCACACTAAAGGCCAGTTTACATCTGTTCGATCAGCTCGTAATGAGCCGCTCGTCCGGGTGTCTCGAACCAACGGAACGGACCTGTACTCTGATAGATTGTTTACACCAATCAGAGTGGATTGACAACTCACCTTCGTTTGTTTACAAAAGGGATACAGACGGGGCAGCTGCAGTGCTTGAAGTCTGCGAAGCAGTTTCAAACGAATTAATTTCTGTTCAAAGAACAGAATAGTAATTTCTGTTCTGAAAATGAAAAGGAAATGGGTACATGACTGAGTAGCTCGCCACGATGAATTAGGAGTATCAAATCAACTATTAAATGAATTTCGGGACGAAGATGTCCAAAGTTACAAAATCTTTATTGTATTTCAAATATAAGAACTTAAAATATATTCTATAAACATGATTGAAATTTATTCGCTTTCAAAATATATTCATTAACCCATTCCCTGCCATGATGGCCATATGGGGATCGCCTACATTTGTATATATTGTGACGTCATGCTGTACCTGGGTGGTCCCTTATGGGTGGTCATGCTTTCCTGAAGATTGAAACTAAGGGTAGAAATCTTAAACAAACACGTGGACTCAGTTAGTTGAGCTCACGAGTTTATTTTTCTTGCTCTCTCGTTACTTTTCACGAGAAAAATAATACAGTTATTTTCAAAGCACAAAAAGTTATTTTAATTCTGGAGATATAAACAAGTTTTCAGAATCAAAATTAGATTCTAATTACACATAAACAAAAAATAAGAGCAATTATTTTTGTTGTACTGAATTTTCCTTGATCATTGGTAAGTAATTAATAAATTTATATATTATTTATCCTCATACTGTAATTTGGATGGGTACAATGAACCCAGATATATCGATCCCATTTGGGGATCATGGCTGATACTGACTAAAATTGTAAAAAAAAAAAAAAAAAAACGTGTTTTTCTTTTTTTTTCCAGGAAATGTCGCGTAAAAGATATCCTTTCTTTAAAAGAAATTAGAAGAAATTGTAAATTGCTGATGATTTTTTTTGCATCTGACGATGACGACGATAATAGCCCCATAGATATTGTTGAAATTCCACCAGAGGGGGTTGATGAGATTTCAGATAATGAGGATATGGATGACAACGTAATTGATGATGAAGAACCACTTGATGTTCCCGGGTGTGTTGAAATTCACCGTGTGGCAGGATTTGAGGACAATGTTTTAGTGAATGTAACTGAATCTTCAGCAAATGAAGTAACAAAAGATACCGCCTTCCACCTGCTAAAAAGAGAAAAGAAGTATTGACTTCCAATTGGAAAAAGAAGCACCCTAAGTACTCGAAACTATATGAAAATACTTACGTTATAGAGACAAGGCGAAATGATGTCATTAGAAACCTCGGGAAAATCCCCGGTAGAGTGTTTTGAAATACTTTTTGATAATGAAACTGTCACCTATATTGTCTAGCAGTCTGTAATATACGACAGACAGAAAAACAATCGTCAATTTCAGCTTTCTAATAACTGCCTAAAAATTTATTGGAATGCTTCTTTTCACTGGCTATCATTCATTTTCGCAAGAACAATTATATTGGTGTGAAGATGAAGACATGAACATTCTGTGTGTTAGAGCATGCATGAGTCGGAATAGGTATCTGGAAATTAAACGGTACCTACATATCAGTGACAACTGTGATTTAGAAAGGATTCCACTAGGTGAACGTGATAACCTCTTCAAGATTCTCCCATTGATTGACAAGCTGAATGACAAATTTCAACAATTGGGGGTGTTTTCTGAAAGTTTGAGCATTGACGAACAAATGGTTCGTTATTATGGATATCATTACCTCAAACAATTTATACGTAGTAAGCCAGTGCGGTTTGGGTTCAAACAATGGACTATCTGTTGTTCACAGACTGGATATTGTTATGAGACTCAAGTGTATGAAGGCAAATCAAAGAAATTAGGAGATGATGAAAGCATCAGTGGGCTTGGGACATTTGTTGCCCTTCATATGGTATCTATTCTTCAGACACCAAATGCTCATATAAAGTTTACTTCGACAATTTTTTTCACAGGATTTTCTCTGATGAAACATTTGCAGGACATTGATGTTAGAGCAACAGGAACTGTTCGATTCAAAAGAATGAATAAATTCCCTATTGCAACAGACAGAGAGATAAGGAAAAAAGAACGCGGGGCATATGACTACAGATTTGATTCCCGTAATGAAATTTTAGCTGTCACCGTGGAATGACAAAGAGTTGTGTGAAAGGCTTCTGTCCTAATCATGAAACTAGCAAACCAATATCAGAGGTGAAGCCATGGAGGTAGAACAAAGAAGAAAGATATTCAAGTACCACAACCCAAACTGATATCAGAATATAACAAATACATGGGTGGAGTAGAACAAGATGGATTGGAATGTTCAAAGTACATAATCAGAATAAGGGGGAAAAATGGTATTTTCCTTTGCTTACATAATGCCATCAACGTTAACACTGGTTAACGCCCACGCACTGTATTGTATTTCAAGTGATAAAATTTCATTGCTAGATTTTAGGAGGATGGTTGCTATGATATCTTGCTTTATCTTCAGAACTCTCAGATGCAAAAAAGGGTGGAAGGAATTTTTTCACTAAAGGATCAATTAATCGTGTTCCTACTGTTATCAGAACATCTGGTAATCATTATATTGAACGCACCGAAAATGGTAAACAAAGAAAATGTGCACTGTGCAAAACAAATGCAAGAAAACAATGTGGAAAATGTAATGTTGGATTACACGTAGACTGTTTTGAACGCTGGCATTAAAAGTAGATATTATGAGCCATGATCCCCATTTGGGGATCGGACTTAAAATTTTTCTGGAAAAAAATTGACGCATTTATGAGAAAAACATGTTTTTCTTGTTATTTAGATATAAACTAACAGAAATAAAATAAAAATTGATGAAATAAAAATTTGGCAGTTAATGGGTTAATCGATTTAAAAGAAATTCAGTTTATTGAGGAAAGTTATTTAGTCAACTCTGGTTATTGAAATTCAAGTTAACAAAGTTTTTCTACTATATATAACTGTTTATTTACACCTAATTAATCATTTACAAAATAATGTAAAAGTAATAATATGTTTTATTATTTATCAATCGAAATAATATATCATCCAGAATCCACAGAACCAGTAGCTTTCTGTGCATGTAATTAATTATGCAGAAGTCTTACTGGAACTGTATTATTTCTAGAGCAAAATGCAAAATTAACACATGTAATATTTATTCAAAGCTACCATTAACACAACAGAAATAAACTATATAATATCTACCTAATTATTCAGAAAATCTTAAATAAATAAGAAGTAGCAAAAAACTTGGGATATATTATCACGGGTAAAAGAATATATATATTATGACATAGTTCCAACAGGAAGATATTTATCGCAAGTTGTTACTTTTGGATCCTACTGAAATAGTGTTTCTGGACAACACACAAATAATATATAAAGTGATATCCACAAATATTAATAATGATTAAATATAGTGATTATACTTTAGTTTTAAAATACTGAAACGGATAGTTTAAGGAAATTAGGATTCATCTAGCCTAATTCACATAAACCTTGATACACCTTAAGTACTTGTACTCAGTGTTTCACATCCAAGCTGAATTATAACAAATTATAGCCCAGAATGTTTTTCTACAAAGCAACAAATTTAAATATCCCCAATAAAACAGATCTACATATTTTTTTCATAATTCCATTTTTATTTTTATAGTTTATAATATATATTTATTACATCCTCATGTAGGGATGCTTATAGAAAAATCTGATGTGTACACCACATGACTTCTGTGTACGGAATATTAAATTATACGCATTTTTTCTTGCATTTTATTTAAACTTATTAGATTGAATTAAACCTACTTCGCTGACAGTGCATAAACCACAATAGAATAAATGCATTCTTTAAAATTCACTTTGTTTACCATAGCGACACTCTGGCACTAGGTTTACTTAACAGTATTATATTTCATTCATATTATAACTCAGAATGCACAAAATGTATATCATTTAAAGAATTATCTAATCGTTGCCACATGTTCTATTCAAATACTATAATAAAGCTAGAACTATGTATAAAAGAAATTAAGCAAGCAAAACAAAAAAGAAACAGTTTTTTACAGACGATTGAGTATTTCTCATTTAATTAATTCAGTTCTCACTTCGCAAGAAGGCAAAAATACATAAAAACTCAAAGTATCTACTCAAAGTAAAATTACGAAGTAAATCTCGCACGCTTATTTCCTCGAAAAAATTCCAGAAAGAATTAAGCATGATTTAATTGGCAATAATAAATGAATGTGTTATCTTTGTTGTTGCAAAGCTAAAATTCTCTAGATTAGCAACAAATCCACTAGTCTCCTCTTTCAAATGTAAACATCAATGGCCGCCATTAAAAACAGGCTTAACGGCAATTAAACAACTTTTAAAATTGCTGATAATTCTAAAAATATTGCATACAGATTTACTAAAGGCATAAAAATCCTTAAACCGGAAGATAAAACAACATAATTCAATCATTTTTAAAGCAAAAAAATGTACAATTACAAACATATGAGAGTAAAGAAACTGAGATCACTGAGCCGGGTAAAGAGTGGTATATATATGTATAAATATATTTGTATACGTTTGGTGTGGACCGATTGCAACCAAAATACGAGGTGCACATCTACATGTTAGCAGTCCTATATACCAAATTTCAATGTTCTGAGGCTACTCGTGTTTGAGTTATGGGAGATACGTACACATGTACGTACATACGTTCGTACAGACGCCACAAAAAATTCTCTTCAGAATTAATTTTAAAGCAGTTTTATAATTTTTTTGAAGGAAAAGTGTATTTTATTCTGTCCTTACGTACAGATATCATGCAAAAACATCGTTAAATTGCATTCGATAGCAGTCAAAATGGATATTTTCGTTGAAATATGCTGCCTGAAACTTTTCGCGATTACAATACTTCCTTTTTACTTCGTACAAGGAAGTAAAAATGAATATAAGCTCACCTAGTTATAGAAGTATGCAACTTATTATTTATGAAGCGGTGAAGTGTTCCATAAGATGCGTATGCATTAAAAAATGCCATGGTTTGGCTATCGCTCCATCTCGTCATTTTCGATATTATAGACGTCACGACGTCTCTGCGAACGCTGCTTCGAGTAACTGCCCGGATAGATTTTTTAACTGGTTCAAAGTAGAAACGGAAGCGCTGACTCATCTTTACGTTTCTACTCGGTCGAAGTGAACATTTACATTGTCAAAGTAATCGTAACGAGTGGCTCGCTACGAGTTGCTCTGAGAGGTGTAAACTGCCCTTAACTTGAGTAGGAGAAAGAGCTGTTACTGTAAAGGCTACTTACTTCTTTTAACTTTTCAGGATAGATTTTCATAAGTTCTAAAAGAGATGTCTTGATAGCAAAATCATATTTCTGTATTTCTTCAAAGGCTGTGTAGAAATCATTTTTGTATTTTATCATTTTTATATTTAAAGGCTCTTGGTTCTTTATTTTCATTCGCTTTACGTTAGCCTTTTTAATATTATCCAAAAATATTTCTCAAAATCTAATTCATCACTGGAAGAGGATGATAGAGACTCATTTGCATTGTCTGCAGTTTGACTGTTCTGATTTGAATTCTCCAATTATTCTGAGAATAATTTCATTCTTAATGAAAGTTCATAGATGACTTTCTTTGCCTTTTTAATTTCGTCATCCAAGAAAATTCAGTGTTTCGGATCAACATATATTGAACCCAGCAAGATCTCATTGTCTAGCAAACTAGTTTCTCTTTTCTTCATTGAAGAAATGATTCCTTCTGCAATAAACCCTCCATTACAGAAAGAACAAATATCCCATTCTTCCATTCTCGCCTCCTGTCAGTTCTTCAGATTGCAGCTTTTTTGTGGATATATACTGTATAGAAAGAAGAGTCTCCAATTCTGAAAGATCATTCCACGGTCTTTCTGTTAGTGAAACATTAGGGTTATCTACATCTTCTAAAAATGTTCTTAATTCTAAAAACCTCTTTATCATCAAATATGTACTTCCTTATCACATTGCTTGATCAATAATTGCTCATTTTCCTGCTCACTTCCTAAGAATGGCATCAATTTTGGGAGTTCTTGCTGCTGTTGCTGCTTACCTAAATTTACCAGTGAGATTTGTAACTAAATGAATCAGTTATTCACTAATGGCACATATCACATCCATCCTCCTCCCTTATATTTATTTATTAATATGTTAATAAAATAGAAAATAACTTTTTATTAATGTATATAGTTCATAAATAAAAATAACTCTGCTTGTCATTAAGTTTTTTCAAATCATCTTAATTTCATTTCAAATTCAAACTGTCCAACAAAAACTGGAGTCTGAGTTGACCTATTTTTAGTGACTCCTTTTATCCCAAAATCTGCCCGACTCCGATTCCGACTCTACAGCCCTGGTTTACGCGACTGCTTTTAATATGGCATCTGAAGCATTAGCTTGTCCCAAGGATTTTTATCTCATAAACTCAGCTAGGTAAAACTTATGATGATGTTAAACTGGATCTTGTTGAATTTTATTCTGCCATTTAACTGAGCTTCATAGTCTTTCAACTTTTTATGTATAACCCGCTGTTATTGACCAACAAAATCAAGTTTATGGTTCACATTAAAATGTTTCTAACCTGCTTTGTCATTTCTGCTTTATATACTCAGCAACATTCTGAATAAATCTTTGATCCTTCTTGTGCAAATATCTGGTGTTGTGGAAGAACTCTGCTGGCATTGTTTATTCCTTATATGACCAGCTTTTTCTTTATGTCCACAGAATTTGCAGGGCCACTTATTTGGTTATTGGATTTGATATAGAGAATACGCCTCTATCATAAAAGTGTTCCAGTCAGTAGTCATATTTTTGTAGTGGTTGAGTAGCGTCTCCCACCACCATGTCAGTTCCTTTCCCCAATATTAGATAAATCACTGTACCATTACAAATGGTATATTGAAACTGCCAAACCCATTGTCAAAATTTTAGCTTTTCCTTCAGTTACAACTTTTCAATTGCACCTGCAAATGTTTTCATTGATTTGTAGTTTTATATAACAGTAATTTTTCTAAATTCGAGTATGATGTAACATGCATCTTTCTCGGAAGGAAGATATAGCATATTCCTTGTGTCGCATTAAATTGACTATTTCTAACATTTTTTAGAAAAGAAAGCATGTTAACACTTGGAATACTCCTTGCGAGTACTTGTAAATTGTTTAAAGCATTTATATGGAAAAAAGATTGTATTTTCTTTTTTCCATATAAATGCTTTAAACAATTTACAATTACTCACAGCTTTTCTTCTCATGAGCAAACTATAAATGATCATCATTAGAACTGCTGGCCATTTAACTCATTTTTCCCTTCAAGGAGTTTCAGCAGTGTACTTCCCATCTTTGCTAAAGGATAATGCAACAGTACAAAACATCACAAACATCTAAGTATTTATTAATCAGTTGCTTCCTGTATCCAATTTTAAAACTACCTTCTAAAGCCCAGGAGCACTTCACATGAAAGAGCCTTGACCATAAATTCCAAGACATCGAGGAACAAATAAGAAGAGGGGTGAACAAAAGACAGTCTTGGTACAAAACAAGAGATAATAATGAGGAATTACCAAAAATGGTTTATCGTGCATTTTGTTAACACTTTTTCCATCATTATGTTGATTTCACAAGAGCTATTGCTTTTTTCAGAACTGCTTTCATAATTTTCATTTTTGATAATGTCATTGCGGAAATTTTTAATGATGTCAGATGTCAGGAGTTATATTTTCAGCAATACTGTCTTTTATCTAGAAACTTTCTTTGAATTTTTTTTGTCTCAAATTTTTTTGTCTTTTTAAATTTCTCCTGACATATTATTTTAAATCTGCTAATGCCATCTGAATGAAGCATAAATCACCATGTTGCAGTGACAGTGTGATGCCATAACATTTGTCATTTATTAATATTTATATTTGCTGTTTATATTCCTGATTGTACACTAATCAAAATTATCAATACCTATATACATCGCATGAGGCTTAAGGTATAAAAGATTTTAACAAAAATTACTATTTTTTCCCTTCTTTGCAAGCCTTTTTGCAAGCCAAACACAAACAGTTTTGGCAGTTTTTGTTTTATTGTTTGTGCAAGAAGAATATGGAGCTATGTAATGCAGAGCATTATTATTTTTCTAAGCATTTTTCTAATTTAAGAGTATTAGGTTTGCCTTTCTTTTTTTGCTTGAAGAAGTACATGATGAATTTTATGCAGTAAGTAGTAAAAAGAGAGTGGAAATGCACAGAAAATTAGCACTGTTCACTAAGTAGTGAGATAAAATAAATGAATGACTTCTAGTACAGAATAAGAAAAGGATTCACCCTTATGTTTAAATTCATCACCTCTGAAAAAATGAACTCAACTTGATAGTTGTTCAGTTAGGATTTTCCTTTTAAGAGTTAATATATACATCATTTATCTTCAGTTTAGAAAAAATATTATTTCATGGTTGTATTGAATAAAAGATTGTTGTAATGAAGTATTTAAATTTCCATTTTGATTATAAAGGTTAGTAAAGTTATTGATAGCTAATTTGCTTATAAATATGTTGGCTATGCAGTAATCAAGTTCATTTTATTCTGCAGAAGGTATAGAAATCATTTAAATATAGATACTTTCATGGTTTATCAAATTTGCAATATTTAAGTTTTTCTGTATAATTGATTTCAGCATGGTATTAAACCCATGTGGGAAGACAGCAGAAATAAACAAGGTGGTCGATGGCTAGTAAATGTACAAAAGTCACAAAGGAACACAGATTTAAATAATTATTGGCTTGAAATAGTAAGTATGTGCTTAATGTGATGTCCTTTTAAGTTAAGTATCTTTATTATATAACTTTGTGTAAAGAGGAAATTATTACAAATGTACCTTATTAATATTATTTTGATCATAACCTATCAAAATAAAATGTTTGATATTGCTGTTAAAATAGTTTAATAGCAACAGTTTGGTAACTATCAAATAAAATGTTTAATAGCAACAATTTGGGCTTTCTTAATCTCTGTGTTTTGCAGCATTTTTCACTTTAGCATATAGTTAATTTTTCTTTTGAAAATTTAAGCTGCGTAATCGCTCTCTCTCTCTCTCTCTTTTTTTTTTTTTTTTAAATGTACCAGCTGTAGAAGAATATTAGTCGTGCAAAGAACATGTTGTTTATGTATAAATAATACAATAAAGTTCTGCTTGTAGGATAAAAATATCTTCAGTGGAAATTGTACTATGAATAAAGTCTTGGTTTTTATTCTTATTTTTATTTAACCCTTTAACTGTCAAGTTATTTTGATGATTTGGGTACACAAATTGTCATTTTTTTTTTTTCCAAAAATCAAATGTTTAGTCCAAAATAAAATCTATTTAGTAGTTAAAAATTGATATTTTGAAGTACATGGGTAAAATTTTTAAAGTTTTGTAGCCACTGCATATTTGCTTGAGGTGGCTGCCACTCAACATGGCAGTTGGCAGTTGTAAAGTTCGCTTCTAGTTCATTATTTTCTAAAAATGGGGGGAAAAAAATTTCTAAAAAATAAATAAATGAAAAAAATAAATAAAAGTAAATACCTATTAGTAGTTCAGTAATTCAGTTTTGTGTGGTACAACTGGAAACACTTTTCCAAGCACAAACCGACTCCGCAGTCACTACACCAGAATCGTGTTTCCTTCCTTATCTTTTTCGAACAACACACTTTGCACTGTGTTGTAGGCTCAGGTTTCGCAGAAGTAGGAGGAATATGGGATATAAAATGTCGTTCAGTAAGACGGGCAGGGTTATCTATTGTAGGTGGTCTGCCAACATTCAGTGGCAGTGGTTACAAAACTTTAAAAATTTTACCCATGTACTTCAAAATATCAATTTTTAACTATTAAGTATATTTTATTTTGTACTAAACATTTGATTTTTGCCCCCCCCCCCGAAAAAAAAATTGACAATTTGTGTACCCAAATCATCAAAATAACTTGACAGTTAAAGGGTTAAATAAAAATAAGAATAAAAACCAAGTCCAGAAGCTGCATCATCATATTTATGTAAAAGCTCTTCTACAGCTTGGATTCGAAATTCTAAAAATGTAATACGTTTTCCAACTACATTTTTATAGAGCAAATATGAGTTCCAGAGTACATTGTCTAGTAAATGTAAAAATATCTTTTTATAATATTTTTTCTGATGTTTTCGAATTGTTGGATGAAAGGATATTTCCTGATCACAGTGATCTACACCACTCATAGTTAGATTGTAGTCAGAAACAATCTTCGGCTTGAGTATATCTTCATTTTTTTTATTTTTGAGGCTGACCATGGAAGTATCATGAATACTGCTCATCAAACACACATCCTTCTTATCTTTCCACCTTATAGCCAAAATCTTACCCCTTTGAAGTGCTATGATTTGATATTTTTGTAATTTTCTTTTAGCAAATTCTATAGATAAATCTTGTCTGTTTATCCTTACTGTGCCATAAATATCTGTTTTTTGGGTTACAAGTAAATCTGCAAGCTCGGGTGACATGTAATAGTTATCTACAGTCACACAATAACCATTTCCAAGAAAGCGATGCAATAGGTGCATGATGACTTTTGTAGAAAGTCCATAATTTGTATACAATTAATTGAAGACAGTACTATTTCCTGTATAGATAATGAAGTCACAAATATACCCTGTTTCCGCCTCACAAAGCATAAAAAATTTGATTCCAAATTGTGCATGTTTGATAGGAATATATTGTTTCCAAAATAACCTTTCTTTATAAGGCATCAAGCTTTTATCAACCGATACATCACTTTCCGGTATGTAAAAATTACAACATTTTTCCTGTAAATTTTCTATCACATTATACAGCATCCAAAGTTTTGGATTTGGAAAATCTTTTTTTTTTTTTTTTTTTTTTTTAGCTTCATTATTGCAAAAATGTAAATATCGAAAAAGCAAAATAAAACGATTTACGGGCATTACTTTTGAGTAAACTGGAGTATGCAAAATCCTTCGATGAGACCAGTACATAGCCTGATTTGGTCTTCAAGGACAATACCTTGAAGAATTATTAGCCCAAAGAATAGCTTCATTTCTCTGTCATTTGTAGGGATTCATTTTTTACTGCGGGATCATCTTGATATCTTTGCCCGATTTGCTTTCCTTTCTTGTTCTGCATAGTTGTTCATGTCTTTGACAATTATTTCCATTAGATTTGAATCCAGAAACATTTCTAAAATATCTAAAGGAGCATAGTTTATGTTTACAGGAAAAGTTACACCTGGAGTACCTGTAAAAGGGAACCGCAGGGGCCCTAATCGGCCAGAAGCAGTTATTTCACACCAGTCTCTCGCATTTCCTATATCATCATCATCAGCGCTATCCGTTGATTCACTGCTACTTTCAATGTCACTCTCCTCAGTTTCACCTGCGTCACTAGTATCGATGCCTTCAAAATCTTCATCCTCGGTTGAAGAATCTAAATCATCTATATAACGTTTCAAAGAACTGGACGCCATTTTACAACAAAAAGATCCAGCGCACTTTGAACCAACCAATCAATCTAACCTCTAACCTTTGAAATCTTATGTAAAGTGCTGCCATCTACTGAATTGAGCGCACATTAGATTTTCCCAAGATACAGTCGGGTTTGACAAAGAGATGAAGCCGAAATAAACGTCTCCCGATATATATTCGGGTGTAACAATACAATGCACTCAAAAAAAAAATTACCCCGAGGAACTCTCGGGTGTGACATTTTCGAACACCAATGCATCTCAGGCATGACAGTTAAAAAGTTAATATATATAAACAACCCTCGGTGTTCAAGGGGTTAACAGGTTTCTTTTGCTACCAATCACACACAAGAGAATTATGTATGATCAGTCAGTAGCCAATCGCACATAAGTGTGCGATAGGTTAAAAGTTTATACTGTACATTTCTTTTAGCTAACGTAGTCTTTTATTGATGTGCAATGACATCAGGGGTTAGTGAAAGGGTGTAAGTTCTTTTCTTGTGTATGCACTTCTCTTTTGTCTTGTAATATGGGCACTAAAAATGATAATTTAGAAGAGCCTTCAAGTGCTAAAATTAAAAAAAAAAAAAAAAAATTAAAAAAGAGCATAGAAAAGGCTATTAACAGGTGACTGAAGTAAATAAATAAAATAAAAAAAAATGTAGAAGATTTACAATAAAATGCCTCAATAATACTTTGAAATTTTGATTCTGAAAGTACAGATGAAAATATTAAACTGGGCTGTTTCTTTATATTTAAAAATATTAAACTGGGCATTTAACTATACATTAGAAAATGTAATTTGGGAAAATGATTCATCATTGATAAAATTATTCTGTTTTACAAAATACAAGGGCTTACTGCAGCCTATTTACTATGCTCTTGAAACATTTTCTGCACAGAAACAAAAGAACATTCTCAAATATGTATATGGAAGAATGTCACAAAAGATAAACTGCTCTAATTTTGCCTTTAATTCTCCATAAGGAAACAGTTTGATTATAATGTATAGGAGATAGCTACTTACTCCTGGTTTTACATCACATTTGCCCAGAGCCGGATTTAGACTTGATAAGGCCCTAAATTATTTGAGATATGGGGCTCTTTATAAGTTCTGTTATACTGTATTTTAATTTCTGGAGGCTTAAGCTATAGCTTGTGTAGCCTATATGCAAATCCTGCACTTAATCCGATAGGTTACTTAATCTCCCAGTTGTAATTTTTAGGCTTTAATGATGGCATTATCGACACATCTTCATTCCTTTACCTGTCAGACTACAGAATGAACCTGAATGGCTAATATGACTACATGAGATGTTACGTGAAGAAAAGTGCAAAAATAGGTTTAAAGAGGCAAAAGAAGATTAACATTTTTGGAAAAATGAAATCTGCATAATGACTAAAGTAAAATGAAGAGATTATAAACCTAATGAATATGAAGTGGAATAGATTGTTTTGTTGCATTTGTCCTCATGTGCTATAGTGTTAAACATTTACAGTTAGTTATTAACTAATTAATTTTATTGTTTGATATTAATTTTAATTATTATGTTTATAAATAGTTTTAAACATGATGCATTAAATGGTGACTGAAGCATGTAAACATCTTTGGATTATGTTTAAAATTGCTGAAAGCCTATCGTTTTTGCTAAGGATTTTATCACTATAAAGATTAAAGAAAATAATGAAATGAAATTAGACAAAAATACATAAAACTTAGAATGTATTATTAAATATTAATATATCTGGTACTAGTATTACATTGTTAATACTTTAGTTACTGGAATCTGGCTTTATGAAGTGAATTGTAGTTTATGCATTTTCATAACTACCATGAGCAGGTATTGTATTTTGCAAAAAATTCAAAAAATAATGAATTAGCTCCATATGATTGGCTATAGAAAATTAAGAATATTGGGAATCTTTTCAGTGCACAAATATCTATAATGATATTGTGGCATGAAAGGCCTATTTTTTGTTGCTATATATATAGAACGGACATCGTAAATATAGTATAAAATTACATATCACAGCATCTGGTGCCATTGTTCTAAAGTTAACCTAGATATATTATGTTCATTCTGGTAGAAAAAGATACTCAGCAAGAATTGTCATTGCCTCTTATCCATGTGAAGAAAAACCATTAGATGGCCTACAATTTTTTTTTTTTTTTTCATAATATTTTGCAACTAATGCAACAAATTTATACCATATTTATAATAAATATTTATATAACAAGATGTCTCTGTGCAACTTTTATCTGTCAACGCTAAGTTTTAAAAGGGCCTCTTAATCTGTCAGATCTTGTATATGATCCTAGTGAAGTTGAAGCTAAGTACTAAAGCTTTTTTGGGGGTAAAAATTGAAATGGGGGAAGAGAGAATTTGAAGAGATTTAGATTGTAATATCACACCAGAGGATTTGTTAAGGTTTTTATGATTTTGCTCAGCTTGCACTTTACCACTCCTGTTGACACTTTTTTTTTCTTTATATTATTAAACATCACTTTCTTTGCACTGACACCACAGGAAATTCAATAGTAAAATCAAAATTTTTAAAAGTGGGATATTTTTAGAATTCCTTATAGTGTTGTTGCCATACATTTTTTTTTAGTTTATCATCTTGGGTTCAATTTCCTTAACTAGATATAATTTAATTTCTTAACTATACAATGTTTTTTTTTGCAATTTGAACATAATTATTAAACATCACTTTTGTCATATTTATGCTAAGCAAAATTTGGTAGCAAAATCACAAAATTTTTTAAAGCAGCGTGTGTTTAGAATTTCTGATGCAGTTTTAAGTGTTGCAATTAATTTATTTTCATTCTTTTCTCAGTTCATCATATCAATATTTAGTTTTCTTATTAAGGTGACCTACTCTATTTATTTATTTGTCTTTTTATCATTAACTTTTCATCTTTTTAACTTTGTTTATTAAACGTCACTTTCTTTGCATTTACGCCATGTAAAATTCAATAGCGGAATTGCAGAATATTTTCAAAACACCATACCTTTAGAATTCTTGATAGTGTTTTAAATGTTGCCATAGTTTTTTTTATATATCCTGTATTATTTCTTTGAAAATAATACACACCAATAACATTTGGTAACAGCATCCTTTTATTTGTATTGCCATACAAATTTTTATATTCGCTGTATTATTTCTTTGAAAATAATACATTTGGTGGCAACATCCTTTTATTTGAAAAAGGATTTTTTTATTCTAGTTTTGATATTTATTAATACTTCCTATACTTTTAAGTTTAATTTATAAAACATAAAAATAAATAAATAAATAAATGAATAAATGTGTTTTCCGTGTTTTGGTATAAAAGGAAGGAGGAATGATCTAGCAGTGGTGAAAGGGGTGTATGGGGCAAAACAGGTTGAGATATTTGAGTCATACTTACTTATGTGTAAACACTTGTTGTGCTTGTCATATGTATATTGTAATACCTAAGCAAAATATGTATATAATAATCTGATCTAAATTTTATTATAAAAACATAAATTAGTTACTGGTGGACTTTTATAATGATTCTAGAAAACAAAGGCATTAAGATCACTGAGCATAGGTATATTGTCTAGATTGACATTGGCTTAGTTCCTAACAAATAGGTTGACTGTATTGAGTTTTCATCACATGTAGCATGAATATGAGTCTTATACACTAGAAATACCAGCATATTGAAATAAAATATAGAAGAGTTGCATCTAGAGTTTGGAGAGTTACAACTGTCTCCATTCTGAGGAATACTTTTGTTTAGTGGAAATGAACTATTATATATCATATTCAGTTTTGTAAGGGAAATAAATATTTTTAAAATTAGGTATATCTGTTCTCATTTTTTATGAATTTGTGGTAAGTGTATATCATATGTGATGATTCAAGACAAATGTTTATAAAAAATGACTTAAAATGTCTAGAATATTTATAATCATTAAACCAAATAGTAATGAGTCAGATATATAATATATGATATCACAAACATCTTTTATTAATTATATGTTGCCAATGTTTATAAAAATTATCAATGTGATATATTGTAAATTGTTTTTTAATTTATATCTGTTAGATGTATTATTAAGAAATACAGGTATAAATTATTAAAAAGTATTTATTACTTTTAAATTTCTTAATTTGTTAAGGAAGTACAGATTGACTAATTAAAGAACTTAGCTTTGCAGAAGAGCGGTATTCTGAGAACTGGCTATTTGTGATGTGGGGAAGACAAAGACCTTATGTTTCAAATAGTGGTATTAACATTTGCCAAGGGGCCACCCAGATGGTTAGGGGAGCCGCCTATGATACCAAAGGGACTGGGTTCTAATTCCAGAGAAGGCATGGTTGCAATTGTCTGTTCCTTCATATGTGGTAATGGTGGCCACTTGTTAGGTGCCATCTCAATAAGATGGCCATCACATCCAGCCTTAGGAGCGGCCAGTGTCGGAAAAAGACAAAATAATGCCTATTTAAAAAAAAAAATCCAAGTCGAAAAAATTTTGCCAAGGGTATTCTTGCATAGATCCTGAAAATCCCTTAAATCAGTCATGAATAAAATAGGTCAGCAACTGTATGTATTTGACTTGTCCAGTATTTTCTTTTCATCAAAAGTTCTGATATGTCAGTATCCATGTCACTCGAGGTTCTGTTCTATATCAAATGTTCATAAAGGTGTTGTTTAATAACCATTTTAATCTTAAATTGTTATTTTAGCTTTTATGTATGATTGGTGAAGCCTTTGAAGAGTATAGTGATGATATTTGTGGAGCTGTTGTACAGATTAGGAATAAAGGTGATAAACTTGGGCTGTGGACTGCTGACGTCAAACATCATGATGCTATTATGAAAATAGGGTAATATGTTAATATTAATGCCTTATTTTTTAATTTTATTTTAATTGTAATCTTTTTTCAGCCATATCCTATGTGTAGCACTTGGTTTTTCATGAGCTCCTGGTAGATCACTGAATCTCCTGGTTTTTAATTTTTTTCTTATTTACCGTTACTATCATGATTTTGTCCTGTCACTTGTCAAATTACAGAATGAATTTGAATAGGGTTCGTAGCGGTCCTTACAAGTGCTTATAAGTCCTTATATTTGAAAATAAAATATAAAGGCCCTTATAGGTGCTTACTTTTTCTTTAAAGCCCTTATTTTTTTGTTTTTAGTGGTTATTTTTTGCTTTTAGTGCTTTTTTTAATGAATGTGCATTTTTCCCCCGTACCAAAGCCGAAACTAAATAAACAACTTTTCTTCCTTATATGGAACGTCAGATGGTGAATCATACTCTCGGAAATAGCTTTTTCCCCTTTCTCTGCATTAATGTAACCTATGGTGCGCAGGAGAGTACAGACAGGGTGCACGTCATTCTATTGGTCTCAGAATTGCGAAAACCGTAGAAAATTCCGGTACATTCCGGTATTCTTTTCCTCCCACCCAAATACTACACACATTTGAATTTCTATCAAGATTTTAATAATTTGCATTCTCGTACCACGTGGTTAGGTCATATTCGTGTTTATTATGATTGTTATGCTTATATTATGAGCATATGTATGAATATTTATAATAATATAGTTGCAGTAGCTGCTGAAGTGTAGATAAACTTCCAAAAATGGGTGTATTTTTACACAGATTAGCTTCCTAAGGAATAATATTCAGAATGGCTTAAATAAAAGGAAAGTAATCGAATAGTCCAAAAAAAAAAAAAAAAAAAACATACATTATACAGAACGAAGGTTGAGAGGTTCTACCGTTGAAGCAGCGGACTTTTTTTGGGGGGGCACTGTCCAATCTGGATTGAATAGAACTAAAAGTTTTGTGGTCTACCCAACCCAAGCGAAGAATGCTTCTATTCCGGAAAGTTAATGCAGTCTGTTCAAAATTAGAATCAAAAACACCCCAGATTAGAAAGTCTCTTTCTTTTCCTTTATTTAGTTCTTTATTCTTCGAATACCGGTACCTGTTGATTCCGATTCCGGCTGCGTAATATCACGTATGGAAGAATTACGCCACACGTATTGCACAATAACGTTTGCAGTATTTTGCAGAGATAATAATTTTGATGTTCAGTCTGAGATTTATTTATGAACACTTAAAAGAGTTTTACTGTGCTTTCTAAGCAGAATATTTCTCGGTTTCGTTGGTCTATTTTTATATGATGCACATATCAAAATGTCAAAATCATTTATTTAGCCAAGAAATCTAAAGAACGCCTACAATATCCCCCCCTCCTCTTTTTCCAGTTACGCTCGACTATATGGAATATTCGGCAGTTTTCGAGTATGCGGGTTAGTTAAGCTTTTACTGTTAAAGGATGACTGCATGAAGCAATTTCCCGTCTCCTGATTTCAAAAATGTTCCTTTTTTTACTTAAATTACCTTGCTTGGAATATGTGTTAAGGGAAAACTGTTGTACAATGAAAATTTAGAAAATGTTCAGAATTTTGATTTAAGTTAAATTATTTAAATATGAATATGAGTGGAAAAATAAATTGTATTTATTATTAGGTGCCAAGCAAATACAATTAATATGGCTTATTATTATTTATTTTCTATATTTTGAACTGAAATTTCATCATTAAATCTTGTAATATAGTTTAGTTCTGCATAGTTTTTTTTTTTTTTCTCTCTGATTGTAAACTAATTCTGTAAATTGAACTGTCATTTAAAATTTTAAAAAAAATAAGTTAATTGTTTTCCATGGTTGAGGTAAATGCTCATTTCTTAATAAATATGCATTGCTCATATTTAAATTGCAATCTAATTTTTCTTTTAAGGTTATGCAGTTGTGTATAATGTAATTAGACAGGTGCTTATTTTTTTCTTAAAATGTGCTTGAAAAGTGCTTATAGGCGCTTATTTTTTTAACTAAAATGTGGCTACGAACCCTGTTGAATCACCAGCCTGAATATTCCAGGCCTAAGGTGAAGAATATAAAGACAGGTTTCTCATCGGAAATATCAAATTCGTATAAATGCTGAAATAAAATGAAGGGATTGTAAATGTAACTAATGTGAAATGAAGAGGATTTTTTTTTTTTTTTTTTTAATGCATTCGTCCACATGTGCCATAAAATTTGCAGTTAAATGTTAACTAATTAATTTTATTCTTTACCTTTAGTTATTAATTTTGTTTTCATTGCATTTAGTAATGAGTGTAGTTGTTAAATAAAAACATTCTTCCCTACTCAAGACTTTGACAGTATAAAGGTTTAAGAATCTCCCCCCCCCAAATAGAGCATCTGGTTAAATAGTAATATATTTTACACCACATTCATACTAGAAATATCCTGAACCGTGTATTATATAGTGAATTTAAGTCAATTTGGCATTCTCTTGAAGTCATGTTGCTGCTCTGTGTGAAAGTGTTCCAGTTTCTTCTGGTGTCTCAGATTTGGTATAGTTATAATCTTCTCTATAACAGCAGTACCAGACATATAATAACAATGCTCTAAAAACAACTTTATGTGTTGTAATTTGTTACTGTAATTATTTGCACTAACAAAGAGCTTAACTTTATTAGTAAATAGAAATAACTGTGCAAAAACTGTGAAAATGAAATTCTGTTTAAAATGATAAAATAAACTGTATTATTATATATTTTATTAGTTTTACTTTGGAAATTCTTAGAAGTCAAGAAAAGTCAGGATAACATAAACTTTTCTCAGAAAATGTGTGAAAATTAGAACTTCTGAAAAGTCAGGGAAAGGAGGAGAGTATAAATAAAGTTTTCAAATAATGAAAGTTTTTCCGTTTTAATTGTAACCAGTTAGGAAAAAAGAATCTCTTACAAAAGAAGCTAGTGATGAGTCAGTGTAATGATCAGTGTGTACCTCACCCTTAAGCAGGTATCCCTCATGAGCTTTTATCTGTAAAAATATAATACAGTACAAAGTCCGAAATTGGGACTTCGGCGATTCCGGATTTGAGATTTTTCCGGATATTAGATCATCAGTTTAAATCTAGTAAGATGGCATGTAGAAGTTATAAAATTAAAAACATGAACTAATGAAGTATTTGTGATCTAAAGCAGGATTTTTTAAACTTTTTTCAGTCATGACCCCTTTTTATCATTGAGATTTTTTTGCGACCTCCAGGACCCCATAATATTTACAAAAATTTTGTGGGACCCCATAAATGTTGCGCAAATCCGACACACGTGTGAGTGAAACTGTAAATTTTTTTCACATGTACTGTAATATACTATTGCAGTTTTAGGTCATTAATTTCTAATTTTAACATAAAACAATGTGAAAATTTTAAATAAGTAACAGATAAAATGACAGTGTCACGTGCAAAGCATGGAAAATGAACGGCTGATACCATACACCTTGCACACCCCACAACGTTTGCTGTTTCTGTAACCGATGCTCCTTTTAAATGCACTCCAACTATCATTCCTCTTTGGAACTCTGACAGATCTGACTTTTCAACTTCTCACTGACAGTTCGATCGAAGCATGCAACGCAGATGACTGCTGTTGAGAGACTGATACCTTCCTCTTCACGCTCACTAGGTGGCAGACTTCTGTTGCAGGTAGCGCAGCTGTACTGCAGATGTGAAATACGTCATACTTTTTCACAGGTATTCGCATTATTTTGTCCTCCATCTGTAGCATAGAAGTAATATTTATTATGAATAATTTGCTGTTATAAGCAGTGCCAGTGGCAGAGCTAGTACAAGCTGTGTGCTCGCATTGGATGACAAAAGTTTGGTTAAGTTGCTTGAATATGGCAAAGTACATGATGGCTTTGTGGAGGACTTTCTAACAAAAACTATTTGTATTTATGTTACACATCAATCGAATCATGAAGCACAACTATGCTGCTAAGCTGTTCCCCTGGGTCTGAATTCAAGTTGAACACTCAGTATTCAGCAGTTTTAACCGCTCAGCCACTAAAGGAAATAAATTTAATAAAAGATAGGATTAAAAAAAATTCATAAAAGCAGATATTGCCTCGCCCTCAAAATGCACAACATCAGCCTTGGTTATAAATTTCCATGCAGAATTAATACAGTCAAAAGTCTTTAATCTGGACATCGATATCCTGAATGATCTATAATCCGGACCTCAAAGCTACAAGCTTTCTGCGCATGTGTATAATACGTTTATGCATGCACGTTTAATGTATAACGGATGGTATAAGCTAAGCAAAAGTTATCTAATTATCTGTTTCAGTTAATGTTGCAGATTGCATTGTTCCTTAATCTTCCAATTGGATCCGGCTTATTATTCTTTGCAGACTGCTAGAGCAATTTTATAAAAGTAAGCTTAAACTTTTGATTATGTCAAAAGAAATTTCCGATCCTGGAGATGCCAAAGGATCTATAAAGCGAAAGCATGTTTCAGTGTCCATTAAACAAAGAGCGGAATTGCTGCAGAAAATGGATAAAGGCATGAAGAAAGTGACAGAGGGGTGATTTGTTTCTTTAACTATTCCGAAATCTGTTTATCAATTTCACGCTGCTCTGCGGGGGAAGGGGGACGTCGCGGCACACAATGAACGGGAAGTTGATCTGTCAGCACTATCCTTATCTTCAGGGCAGATGTTTTTATTTTATTCAGCTTATAATTCTTTACTAAGTGTAGTATTTCATCTCGCTGTACTCTGTCTTTGATATGATTTAAATCAAATTCCTCGTCATTATAAATATCATGAATACACATCAAATAGTTTTCTGGTTGCAATTTTCTAATTTCGACTATGCTTTATGTATGCTTTATGCATGCACACGTTGAAAGAAATGTTTAATAAAGTAAACAAAAAAATATTGAGCTTTTTTTTTTTTTGTAAATTTTGATACCCTTTAGGTAATAATTGCTCTTTATTTCATAAATTACGGTTTCATATTTTTAGTTTTATAATTTCTGCATGCCATCTTACCATATTTAAACTAATGATCTATAATCCGGAAAAACCGAATCGCCGAAGTCCCGATGAGTCCGGATTAAAGACTTTTGACTGTAGTTGGTTCCCAATTTGAAAACAAGTTTAAAAAAAATTTTATCTATTTTTATAAATGCTTTAGATTTATTTGAAATCTTTAATTTTATTTTTTTTTAAATCTCTCAATTTGTATTCTGTGTATTTTGTCTAAATAAATTACATTTTTTATAATGTTAAAATTATTTTATTGTGTTTTGTTGTAAATGCATAAAATTTCTTTATTTATATTTAGCTTGGTAAATAGTTATGTTTAATCAAGGAAATTAAAAGTTGAATTTCAGTATAGGAATCCTGTTTACCCTTCAATGAAATACAGGATTTCTTTGATTCATGCTGTTTCTAAATACATAGAAACAGTTAGTTACATGTCTCTCCATCCTAGGTGAACTATGCGAAGTTGTAGCAGACACCCGGGTAAAATCCTATCCCAGTAGAACAATTTTCGCATTTTTCGAATCTTAGCTAGCATATTAAGGTGATAGCTGTAGAAGTAAACAAATAAAAAGTTCTTAAAATAGCAAAATTTAGTAGTGGTCGAGGAAAATTAAAGTTCAATAATTGCTGATGCAGGCCGTACAGATAAATACTTCCAAAAGAGTTAACTGAGGATAGCAGGAACAGAGTGCCGAGCTGGCGATAAAAAGCGAAGTCTTGAATTAAAGTCTGTATGTGGAAAAAGTATCAGATGTTGAATGTGGCATATGGTCACTCATCTTCTTATTGGCAAGTGGCTATAAAGTGGTCCTGAAAGTATGGGACAATCACAAATCTTAAATACATCTGTAATGTAATGCTGACTGATCAGTATGTCAAATCTGTGTCCTAGATGCAAACAAGATTCATTTCCAATCATACTCCACACCACAGCTCTGAGTCCTAAGATGGTATTACGATGTATAGGCAAGTGCTATTTATGCTGTATCTTATGAAAACATATCTATCAAGATGCTGCATGCAGAAATGGGATTTATATAAGAAAACAATATCATGTCATTCATGTGGATCTTCTAATGCAATATTGTAGCTGCAATATAACTGTCTGCTGTACTGATAAAGGTATGCAGATCAATAACCACCATATGAGCAGTCAGTAATCTTTAAGGCAATGTCTCACCTGAAATGAAAGACTTTTAGAAGCTCTAAGTACTTAAGACTTTGGTGTCTCCACATGCATTTATGCCTGTTTCTGCATTTTTTCTCTCTTAGTTTATTTGGTAGCACAGTACTCCTTAATAAACCTGACAGTAGAAAATTTTCATGATTTCTCCTTCTTTAATTTCTTGATTGCTTTTTATAGAGTCCATTCACTTGATGGCCTGAGGAGTTTGCTTAATGGTTAATACAGCTCTGTGCCTCGAGTGTTTAGACACTTCTTACAATGCCACATGCTGTATTTGCCAGGCCATTCCTACAAGATGTTGGTATTCTCAAATGTTTGGCTTGTCAGTGTCATTGTAGGCTGTCATTTTACACCATTCATCCTTTTTGGATGCATCAATTCTGTATTCACATTGGAGTGGTTGGATTTCAAATAACAGGAGCAATAATATGGTGGTTTGATAATTTGTAGTTATAATGTGCTGTTATTCGTCCTTAACCAAATTTAGACAAAAGCTGCTGTACTTTCCATCTTTTTACTCGAGACATATGATGCACTTCTAATCAAACAAGGGCAAAACACAATTCCTGTTTGGAAAACTCATAGCTCATCCTATCCTTTCTTTTGCACTGTTATATGCATCCATTATTTGTATCTACTAAATTGATCTTATTTTGTGTTGCAAGGTGTGTGTGTAACTTAAATTTCACTTCAATCAACCTTTTTCATGATGTTGCAATTTTAATGGTTAGTAACATATTCTGAAATTGATAGCTATTAAATTGATTTTCTAATTTATATATTTATTTTTTTATTTTTTACAGACGAACTATTAAAGAAAGATTAAATCTTCATCCAAGAAATGCCATAGGTTATGAAGTAAGTTATCTGTTTTAAAGATCTCATTGTAATTGTATTTTCATTTATTTATTTTTATCAGAAGCTTTATTTTAATGTATGTTTATAAAGTACCTTTATTTATTTGTTTTTATTACAGGCACATTCAGACACTCAGATAAAAACAGGCTCAGCTGCAAAATGCAGATATACACTTTAAATTAATGTTATTTAGCTTGATATACTGAAAATGTTTGTTGTAAAGGTGGTTTGTTTCATATTTTTGTGAAAGAACTGTTTAAAAATATTTATCACTTCATCATATAGATGTTTTTCTTCCAGGGAAGGGGCGACTTATTTATGTAACTTTGAGGATATGATTTCATATTGTATCTACGTTTAAATTCTGAAAAAGTTTGAATGCTTGTGTGTCTTTTCTTTATACTGAGTATCCTGATTTGTATGCACACTTCTGAAAACTGTGCATCTGTTGAATATTGTACTTTATGTAGCTAGTTTATTTTAATTATATTTTTATTGTGGAAATGAATTAATATATATATGTAACTTCCCTTTTGAAAGCATACGTTTATATAGCTTTGTATTAGACTGAAATAAATCATCTTTGCAACCATTTTGACTATGAGTGTTTTTATGCAAAAGAGCAATTAATTCTTTTGTTGCACTTTTTGAAGTGGTAATTGCGAAAAAAAAAAGTATAGCTAATTCACTCAATGTTCAATAATTTGAATTTTTTTATAAGTCTCATTGAATGCCTCTCGCCTCTGAAATTTATTACGAGTTAACCCATTTGATTATATATGTGCTATCATGAAATTTTTTTCCCTTCACTTAGACAATTAGAAATTAATTCTAATTGGCTGAGTGGTGTAGACTGTTGAATATTGGCAGTACATCATGGATTTAATCTTAGACAAACAAGCTTGTTGCATGGTTAGTTTTCATGGCTTTTCCCATCTGCAACATGAATACAATCTGGTTTCCTTAGAAAGCTCCTACATGAAGGCATTCTTTCTCTTAGGCAGATAGTCTTTGCAAGCTTTTTGCAATATTCCAACCTGTATTAACTATCGAACTATGATTATACATAAATTAAATATCGAACTATGATTATACATAAATTAAATATCGAACTATGATTATACATAAATGTTTCTATTTTTGGTTCACTTTATTTTTGACTTTAGTTTAATAATATTTTAGTAGTTTAAAAACTTTTAATTACCTAAAATCCAAATAAAATGACTTGGGCAATGAATAGGGCAATCCAGTTCTGTGAAATTTGGTCTTCAAAGAACTCTCAATTTCAGACTGATTTGATCACTAAACAAATGCAAAGCAGACGCGCTATGATCTGAGACTTATTGATAACAAAACTGATAAATATCTCTGTTTGAATTTTTGAGTGAAAATCTCTTCATTATTTAAGTTTATAAAACTGACATATAATCCAGCATTACATTGAAAAGGCAAGTACAAATATGCATTTTTCTTAAAATGAAGGCTGTAATATCTCATTTTTATAAAAGATATGTTAAATTAATTAAAAAAGCTGTTAAGAATGTAAACTTCAAAGAAAATTAGCATACTAATTCTTGTATAAAATTCCTAGGATAATACTGTAATATGTTCATAAAGATCTGATTAAATAATCAGACCTGATGAAGAGAAAAACTTGAACCTTTATTTCGGCTTTTAGCAATAACACAGCTAAAAATTAATTAAGGAAAATAGAGAAATAATGCTAAAATCCTTACCCCAAAATGAATGTTTCAAATTGCAAAATTGCTTACAGAACAAAGAATAAAATTATTGAGAATCACATCCATAGCACATCAGTCTTAGTCTTAAATTCTGAGTAAAGTCTCACTTCACTTTATCATGCAGCCAAATTGCGCATCTTTCTATCTGTGTAGCCGTTGGGCTAACTAAAATCAAATTCATTACCTTTGATTTAAGGCAAGATGCTGGCTATTCTTTAAGCACGAGTGGTGCCTCCTGTCAACTCATATGTGAATTACATAAAAGGGTCTGTTACACCCTTTCCAAGTTTCTGTGGTATTTTACAAGATGTAATGATAATTCAACTTAGGGTTTTAGAAGTTTTGTACTATTTCCGTAGTATACTACCAAAGAACACAAGACTTTAAAGCCTTATATTGAAAATTTGCTCATCAGTGGACCCTTCTTTATGGAAGCCACACTGATAGTCACCAATTATATTATCTGTATTTGCATATATCAATTGCACTGTCTGAAAGGGTTTGGAATCAAAAACTGTGCCACAATAAGTTCTTATATCCTTCATATCTGATCCATGTCTAGACTAAAGAAGCATACGGTCAATCTGGTTCTGTCGTTAGCAAAACAGATGAATTTCTGTCAATTTTCATTCGAGTCCTCGTGAAGACTATTCCTTTGTACAGTTGGTCTGAATTCAGAACATTTATCAATTTTGGCATTCATGTTATTTATTATCATTTTAATGTCATGCTTAGGACAAGTTCCATAAACTGCCCATAGTTCTTTATAGAGTTGTTCTTTTTCTTCCCAATTCAAATCTTCTGTGGGAACAAGTACATTTATCGAGTTTATAATTAAAGAATTTCCCTCTTATTCAAATCTTACAAATTCGGGAAGGTCTTTCCATTCCCTTGCTCACCATAAGTCTCATACCAAAATTTTGTTTCTTCTTATTACAGCTGTAATACACAGAATGGCCTTTTTCTTTCAATTTATAAATAACGAAGATAATTATCTCCTCATCAAACCATCTCATATCCTATATGGCTAATATACCAAAGTTATATTTATCGGGTTTCTCAATTCAATAATTGAATACTCCAATATCAAGTGCGAACATTTTATGTACCAACTCACATAATTCTTAAATCATTTCCAGTTCATTTTCTCCAAAACAGCCCAGAATTTCCTTTAAAACTTCAACATATCTGACAAACCATAAAATACCCTCAAAAATAATTGTTTTGGTTTTTTTACTGTAGATGGTACTGAAAATCTAGTTTCTATTGATGGGATGATGAATTTATTGAAGTAACGGGTGGCCATAATTAAACTAACAGTGCTCACAGTGTTCTGTAGCGAGATCTATTTGCGAGAATGATGCCACATTTTGTAGAAAGATTAAACAAGACGGGGGACGAAGGGTTCCGCGGAAAAAAAATTAGTTCCAAAAGTCACCACTAGGGGAATATTTGGCACTGTGTAATAGAAAATAGAGTAATAACAAATGCAAATCAATACGGAAATTACCTTTTATTTTGCATTCAAATGAGGTTCGATGTGGCTGCCGTTGTTGTGGACTACATATTGCATTCTGTGCACAGTATGCACAACAGCAGAAAGTAACATGTCTGCAGGAATCTCCCGTACAGTCTGTGATATGTTATCCTTCAACGTAGCCAGGTCCTGGACCACTCCTTGATAGACCTACCCCATAGCTCCATAGCCAGAAGTCAAGTCGCATGGGGTAAGATCAGGCGACCGAGGTGGCCATGCAGTTGGAAAGTAGCAACTAATGACTCTTTCTGTTATGAATTTCTGTCGTAGCATCTGTTGCACCCGTACAGCAACGTGTGGAGGGGCTCCATCTTGCATGAAAATGATTTCCCCCAGGCATTGTCTTTGCTGAAGTGCCGGAATGACAAAGCTGTTCAACATGTGGCGATATTTCTCTCCGGTAACAGAACAGGTTTCCGGTCCTGTTGGGTTAATGTTCTCATAGAAGAATGGATTTATGATAAATTTTATTTCGTATTAGTTTGCATTTGTTAACACTATTTTCTATTATACAGCGCTAAATATTCCCCTAGCAGTGACTTTTGGCTCTATTTTTTTTCGCGGAATCCTTCGTCCCCCGTCTTGTTTAATCTTCCTACAAAAGGTGGCGGCATTCTCGCAAATAGATCGTGCTACAGAACACTGTGAGCACTGTCAGTTTAATTATGGCCACCCGGTATATAGACATTTTAAAGCACTGGATTTTGTCATTCTCAAAAAACTTTGGAAGGGCATTTCAACATAACTTACTCCACGTCACAACTGAAAAATCTGTAAAAGGTTCATATTGCAAAATACAATTATACTAGATTGGCCTGGTAATTGACCAGACTTAAAAATATGATTGAAAATTTTGGGCACGTAAGAAAGATCTTAGCAAAATGGATTGTTTGACAAAAGAGCACATGATTAAGAATGTTATGAATGTGTAGTTCCATGTTAAAGAAGAAAAAAATATGCACACAAAATCGGCAGCATCAATGTCTATGCACATTATAGAGATCCTTTATGCTAAAGGAGGACATATTTCCTAATAATTTATAATATATTATCACTGTACATGAAGGTATGTACATAAATTATCAAAAAATCACTTTATTCCAGTTAATTTGCACACCACAGTATTTAAATGTCTCTTACATTAGATAACACATTAAATAATAGATTTCTATGCCTAAAAGTTGCAGATTTTTATTTATTTATTCTCATAGATGCTTCTCACTCAGACTTCGTGGAGTTATTTGAAAGGACTGAAAGTATAAAGCAAAATTAATTGAAATTAGAATATTTAATTTAAATTAAGTTGTAAGGTATATTTTAATTTTAATGTACTTTCCTATCGATTCTTGTTTCTACTTACCACTCCCTACCAGAAGAAGTTTTTAGAATCGCTTTGAATGCAAATGTGTTAGTATTGAGGAAGGTTCAATTTACTTTGTGAGAGAGCTAGGAATCCCAAGTAGCACATACTTTGCCTTCGGGCTAAGTCTCTGTAGAAACTGTCATGCTCGGCTGTATATTAATTACCTTTTGATATTAGCTGGCTAGTTTAAATTAACGGCCAACTACATTAGGTTTGTATTAGCTTCGGCTAAGTCTCTTTTAGTTAGTTCTAATTTATTTCTTATTTTGATTTCAAGCTCGAGAAAGGGGCCATCTGTTCATCTTATTTTGAGTGAAATAAAGGTTAGTTAACCCTTCTTGAGTCTACATCTTAGTTGTTTCAACTTAGCGATAAGTTGCTAACAAGTTCACTAGGTTCCTCAACGTTCATTTTACTACAAAAAGAGTAAGGAACTCTACAGAGTATTATGCTTTACTTCTTCTTTTCAGCACTAATGCATTTGGATGAGAAGTAAGCAAGATAATTTAAAATTAGGCAAAAAAGTGGCTCTGAAGTTTGGTATAGAATCTTCCACAACTAAGATTTCTGTTTTGCCTGTTTTTAAGTTTTTGTTGTGTTTCAGTCTGATTGGATTGTTTCTGTTCCAGTTTGAAACTGAAAGAATCTGAAAAGGCATTTGCATATTTATATTCATAGACTTGATATTTGTTTTGGTTTCATGTTTCTTAAATAATTGCTGATCAATGTATCCTAAATCATTTGCCATGTAATTCCTTTTCTGTGATACTTAGGAATTAGTGCAATAACTGCTGTTATTTCATAAGATAATTACGGAATGAAAGCAAAGGTAAATGTATATAAAATCGAATTCTATAAAAAGAAATGCAGTAGAACTTCGATTTATCATTCCTGCAGCGATCATTTTGTCTCATACATCATTCATTGTTGGTTCCCAGTGAAATTCTGTG